ACGAAGAAAGTGGAGATGGGTTGGATTGGATTGGGCATAGACTGAGAAGGCTGATTGTGGACACCACGTGCCAGACCAGACCTCACGCTCGAGTGGAATCCAAAGTGGAAAGGATGAGTTGTGTGTCCCAGCTGAGGGTGACATGGAGTAGATGGTGTGAGGAAGAAATGGAAGGTGATGGGCAGTTGTGGAGCGAGGTTCAAAAGACTGGAGAGAAGAGAAGAGAAGAGAAGAGAAGAGAGTGGAATGGAGGTGTGCTAGTGACTCGCTATGTTTCATTAGGGAAAAGTAATAATAATATATCAGTCCAGTTTGATTATCTAAGATAGCTGCGGTTTAGCAGATTTGTATCATTGGTGTTGTATGATGATTGAAGGGCGAATGGAAATCTTAGTCATTACAGAATTTGAACGTTCAGCCTTCGAGTTACCACCCCAGTATTAGATTTACTTAGCTATGATATTCAGCTATTCATTTGTCAGAGGACCAAACGAGTAACTCGGAGACCACTAGTTCGAATCCTTCCGCGATCTAAATTTCGATTTCATTTTCAGTCATCAACTAGCATCAGTATTAGTGTCCGTTAACAGCTGGATATATAAACCAAAGAATGTTAGTAACACTTCAGCGTGTCATAAAAATAATCATAATAATATTTTGTCGTTTTGTGACATAAGTCTGCCTAACAACAATTTGTACTCAAAACATCTGAGCCAATGAATATTTCCTATGTATCTTTAATTCGAATGGTTAAAAATTTTTCAAAGTTCTTTTATTTTCAATCTTTTTAAGGTGATATCTACTCGTGGTTGAGGTGATCTTGAAACATATGAGGGAAAATAAGTTTCAATCTACTCATCCGTAGTTAGCACTTTATTTCCGTTAATTTTCAGAGTGAAATATAGCCACATCTGAAAACGTTATGAGACTTTTCAAAAGTTGCTTCACACATATTTTAACTTTTAGTTATTTGGTTATTCAGTTTGATTCTTTAGTTCATTTTTAGTTCATTAGTCGATCAATGAATCAGGTGAATACCGACTCATTTTCTTGTATGTTATTTGTCAACATGTCAGAAGTAGAAAAAGCTGAACACAACTCCGTATACATTAATAGGATCATGCACTAGTAGTGAGTTGAAGATATGAGTTAATGAGATCAGACTGACAAAAGCTACCTAAATGAGCAGTTGAACTCATGATCAACTCTTTAGATCTGATGGCCAAATGCGTCTCATGAACCCCATTATCTGTCTACTGTGAAAAGATTTACTAACTTTAATTAATTTTATGAAAATCAATGCAGAGAAGGGATTAGTGCATAAAAGCAACGGATGAAAATTGTAAGTATTCCTCCTGAATAAATTAACAACGCTTTTCATGAACAGCTGTTTGAACTGAATTGAGAATCCAACCAATAGAATGATTACTATTTATTGATATACTTGTGATCCTGATTTGTTTTACTGGACCGATTTTTTCGACCTCCATTGTCATATGGGCTCCTGTGCGGATGCCTCGATATTATCTGAATATTAATTATGGCATTTACCTTGGTTGTGGCTAGTAGAGGAACCATGGACACGCGTAGCCTTGTGGATAACGCCTTGACATTTGAAACGACGGGTACAAGGTCCGAGTCTTGGTGTGAACAACACTCACTGGGGTAGAGGTACATCCAGCTGACGCATGAGTACCAGATAAGACAAAGTGCACCTTCCGAATTTCTCTGCTAACCATAGCTAACTAAATTACAACAGAATGATTCTTATGATTATTATTATTATTATTAATTGTCTCTTGGGTTCCGAGTGGAACATAGCGAGTCACTAGCACACCTCCATTCCACTCTTTTCCTTTCTCTCTAGTCTTTTGAACTTCGTCCCACGACTGCCCATCACCTTTTATTTCTTCCTCACACCATCTCCTCCATGTAACCCTCAGCTGGGACACTAAACTCGTCGTTTCCCATCTGGGTTCCACTCGAGCGTGTTGCCTGGTCTGGTGCGTGATGTCTCCGAACGGTCTCCTTAGTGCATGCCCAATCCATCTCCACTTCCTTCTGCATATTTGTTGAGCGATAGGTTCTTGCTTCATTGGTTCGTTGCCAGCCAGCCAGAGTTCCTTGTTGCTCATTCTTTCTGGCCATCTGAGCTTTCGTATCGGGCCAGCGAAGGCAGTTGTTGATGAATATCTGTAGTTTGTGATTCTTACGTAATTAAACGTAATTTGTTTTCTCGTCTTCTAATATCACTACCGTCAAAATGTTTATTAGAACACATAACAAGGCAAAGGATACACCTTTATCTTCAGTTTAGCTTCATTTTAAAATGAGTTTAATGGTTTCATTAGGTCTGCAATCTAAAATATATGACATACCTTACAAATGGATATTAATGAATCTCTGAAGTTAATAAAAATATCAGTCAATTAAGAACATATAATTAATTGAATAACATATGATTACGTTCCTTTCTTAATGACAAAGCATTAGTATAAACCAGTTATCACTCAATTCTTGAGTATATCTAAGAAGAAAGGAAATGTCAGTTGATTCATTTGTTATTATTACCCCCTGTGGAGATAAGGGTCTTCAAAAACTGTTCATTTATACCTCTTTTTTTCCAAAAATAACTACTTATTGAAATATCTCCATTTAAAATTGCTGAAATCAATTTATCAACAGGATACCTTAATAATATTCTCTTTCTTTCTTCTACTTTTATTCAGTAAGATAAAGTTTTAAGAAGCTTATTTATTTTGATGAGATATAGGAGAGGTAGATTAAACCACACACATTCAAGTTACTCATTTACTTTGATAAAATATTTCTTTCTAGTAAAGATGTACACCTGTTGTATGATAGTTTTTATACAACTGAACAATTAACAAATGGATGTAAAAACGCAGCGGGAAATTTCTGTTTTCTCATTTATTGTTTCATAAGCCAATTACTGAAATATTATCTAAGATATAAGTAACTCAGTGGATTAAACATACACTGACCACAATTTTAATCTATAGAAATACAACACTTGGTCAAATGAGTGTAAAGTTTTATTTTGACAGGGTGAAATTAATAATTATGTATGCGGAGACTCATAGTAAGACGAAACAACCGTCCACCGTTTCCAGGTTTTCAATACTTCTTAAACTGATGCCCGTCCGTGATAAATATCACCTTGAAAATAAAATCCCTATAAACTTTAAGTTAAATTTCGAAGAGTAGACATGGTAGTTGAAAAGACAGTTCGATTTGTCGTTAGATCGTAGACGGAACTAAAATAAAAATGCTTGAATATCGATTACAACTTTTACTCAAAAGTTCTGGGTATTATTTTAAATGGTAGAGACTAACCTATTTATTACTTTACTTCAGATCAAATGGTATCTATTCCAAGCAAAAGATAAGTTTTACATACTTGCAAATACTTTGAGCGTGAAGAAGTTTATCTTGTTCTTGATTTATAAATCGAAGAAAAAGAAGTATTTTCATCTCTCAGTTGTCATAGCAAATGTATTCTTCTGAATTTACTAGACGGACTGAGGCTGATAAACAGATCCTCTCTTCCAGGAAACTACAGTTGAAGATTCAATGTGTTAGATATTTGTTAGTTGGTTAAAGGTAATTGCCAAGAAGCCCTGCACCTGGGTTTCGTGCTTTTGACACTCATCAGCAAAGCGTATCTGAAACCTCGATGGAACTGATGTCCTGCCTAAGATTCGAACCCTCGTCACCCAGTGTTGTAGTCAACTCCTTTACCACTGAGATATTCGGACCACGAATAACCTCCTGTTGGATTGAGATACATGTATTGACGGGTCACGGGAGAGCAACCAGTTTCATCTTATCTAGTCCTGAGTGCAGACCGAATCTTATAGACCATGTGCACCGTGATGCTGAGTCTCCTAGCTTGGCAGCCACAATGTAAATATGATCGATAGGATTCGATTTGCCCTCAGGACGGGACAACATGAAACCGATTGCTTTCCCATGATCAATCAATACATTTTAGATATTTAAACAATGTCAAGTGCTCGAGGTAACCCCTGATGGTCTTACACTTAATTCCTGGCTAAATTTTTTGAACGCACCCTTAGATGGAACAACCACCTAGTACCTTAAGATTTGGAACTGTTCTTCAAATTATGCCAGTTCGACATGAAGACTTCTTGTCTTATCTGTTTAGAGCCAGATTTATCATCAGTTCATCTAATAGTTTAAATCACTGTCTCAGAAGCAAATGCATTTTGTGCCACTGTATTCAAACTTCTCGCATTAATCAGCACTGTATGTACAGCGGTAACTTATATTCGCACAAACTACCGGTACTATTGTCAAAAACCTCAACATATCACTCCTAAAGTAGGCCACCAGGAAAGTAGGTAGTGTAGTTTGAGCAAACGCTACTTCTTAGTGTTATTGTTTGTATTATACCGTCGTTGATGGGGCCGAATCGATCGGCTTCTGTCGACATATGGGCTCCTGTGCGGATGCCTCGATATATTTGTGTTCTAGCGATAGTGAAGATGGATAGTGGCTAGCAGTGGAGTCCAGTATTCGAATTTCGTCCTACTTGGGACTCACCAGATGGATGTACCTGCCTCCCAGTGAGTGATGTTGCTCCCACCGGGATTCATACTCGGGAGCGATCGTTTCAAACGCCGGAGCGTTATCCCCTACACAACCGAGCCACGATAGCCACTTCTTGTGGCACGGGTGTAGTTCTTAGTCTTATTGCTTGTATTATGTCGTCGTTAACTGAACCTAATTAATCGGTCTCTAGTAGCATATGGACTTCTAAGCGGACGCTACAATATACCTATTTTCTTGTTCTAGTAAAGAAGGATTTCACTGCTGGCTACTACCCACCTTTACAAATGTTACTTTTGCTTTCAACTTCAAACTCTAACAGTACTGACTTGCATTTAACTAGAACCATGTGTATAGAGAAATGATTTAATCATTTTATTTATATTATTTTAATCATATTGTTTCAGATACCAAAGTACCAATAGTTGCAAATCATAACAATCAAATCCGACTACAAGTTGGTGATACACTACGTCTTGAATGTCCAATTCACATTACTTCATCTGGTGGTCTAGTCTCTTCCAATGATAATCCTAATACAAAACTTCCTGAATACAATTCAGGTGTAATGTATAATTGGAAGGTGAGAGATTTACACGACTATTCTTTGGATACAAATAGTCACTATCGATTCAGTCAACAGCGTCGTATACTTGAAGTTACGGAACCACTAAAAATTTCTGATTCAGGCAATTACACGTGTTTAGGTGTAACAGGTTTCGGGAAACGTGAAGTCACATTTGAAGTACACGTACGAGGTAAGCTAAATATGATAAACATTGAAAAAAATTCTTAAAAATTGTTTTAATCATCACTTTATTTGATAATAATAACAGTAAAAGTTATAATCTAGAGATGGATTGTTTTAGCCAACTAACAGCTAACAGTTCTTTCCATTTCAAGACATATAATCTAACTATCGGTCTCACTACATAAAGAAAATGAACAAGCATATGAATGCTATTATTATTATTATCATTAATTTTCCCTTGGGTTCCGAGTGGAACATAGCGAGTCACTAGCACACCTCCATTCCACTCTCTTCTCTTCTCTTCTCTCCAGTCTTTTGAACCTCGCTCCACAACTGCCCATCACCTTTCATTTCTTCCTCACACCATCTACTCCATGTCACCCTCAGCTGGGACACACAACTCATCCTTTCCACTTTGGATTCCACTCGAGCGTGAGGTCTGGTCTGGCACGTGGTGTCCACAATCAGCCTTCTCAGTCAATGCCCAATCCAATCCAACCCATCTCCACTTTCTTCGTCTGCATATTTGTTGGGTGACAGGTTCTTGTTTCGTTGCCAGCCAGCCAGCCAGCCAGCCAGCCAGCCAGCCAGCCAGCCAGCCAGCCAGCCAGCCAGCCAGCCAGCCAGCCAGCCAGCCAGCCAGCCAGCCAGCCAGCCAGCCAGCCAGCCAGCCAGCCAGCCAGCCAGCCAGCCCAGCCAACCAGCCAGGCTTTGACATCGTTGTCTGTGTCTGTGCTGCTGCTTGTAGTTGGAACGATGCTGCCTAGGTAGGTGTAGGTGTAGGTGGCAGAGACTTCTTCCTTTCGGTTTCTCACGTTAGTGGTGACTGGTGTTTATTGTTGATGCTGTTGTTGGTTGGGTATCTTCATTACCTCCGTCTTCTCTACATTCACTTGAAGTCCCGTCTTTGCTGCCCTGCCTCTTTTGTCAACTTGTTGGCTTTCGCCTGTAGATCTTCGAATTTGTGTAACGTTAGATATAAATCATCATCGTTGGTGAAATCCAAATCTTCTTCTGGGGTTCTTTCGTGGGTCTAGCCAGCGTATGCCCCTCTTCTTGCTCCTCACAATAATGCCGTTAGTGCAAGAGAATACTAAGTAATACATTCATGTGGTATTAGTTACCAATATTATACGGGATGATGTAAAATATGCCTTATTTTCTATGTAAAGTTCGTTAGATAGTTGTATATGAAGCACTTCGGTTCTCATTGCAAAACAACCATCTGTTTGTATTTCGCTTCCAGTGAGATTGACAACCTCACATGTGCAGTTAAAACTCAATAAAATGGTCCACCCTTTAAAATGTTTATCTAAAGAGACACCAGTAAACTCTCATAGATTTAGATTAGGAATGGAACTGGGAGCTGAGTTGCCGCATGCTATTTGTCATGATTTTTTGGTCATTTCTTACTCTTAACCGTCAAGATCTCTTATTATGAATCTGAGGTATACATTGATGAATAGATAATAGAGGTCCTGGTGTTGTGTACTTTACAAACAGAAGCACAATATTCGGCTGCTAGTAGACTCGGCTATGAGACAAGTTAGTCAAACCGAAGCTTACCCTGGAAGTCTCATTATTGATCACTACACAGCTGTACTTCCCTAGTTCCTCTCGGGTTGGACTAAGATGAGAATACGTCTTTAACATCCAGTTTGATTATGGTTTCCCCTCAGTTACCTATCATAGACTCAAATGATAGCCGCATAGATTCTTAGGAGATGAACTTGAAACATACTCAGCAATTACGTCACAAAACTATCAGAAGAGTCCCAGGCCAGTAACCTTAAGGCCTCTGGTTCGAATCCCCTTGTGTCTCAGATTTTCATTTCACCTGCATTTATCACCTAGTATTGAAAAGCCATTCATCCAACCAATCATATAACCCTTATCCTCCACGAAGTTAAATTCAAAATACATGCTATTGAAAAATTTTTAAGAAGAAATAATTAGAAATGTGATTGACATCTAGAATACTGAAATTTTTATCAGTAGTTATTATGGTTATTATAAATGTATAAATAGTTGATTAATAGGTGGGGCTATGAAAGCCCAAAGCAATGATAATAAATGTATAGAAAAACTAGAATTTTTGTCTCTCCTCTTCAGACATATATATATATCCACATATTTAACTTCACATCTACTGTAACAAGCAGAAATGCCAACAAATGACTACACTCATTATATCTTTCATTCATGCAAATAATAAGTGCTTGTTAAGACCTTTCTTTTAGGTATTTTAAGATTCCAGTTCACTGAACGAATTAAACGACATACGAATGATCTTAGCTTGACTATTAATGCGTAGATATGTATGCATTAATGTGTATGTATTTGTGTGTTAATCTAAAAATTGTCGTCTCCTTCTGACAACTTCACAAGGAACAAAATTGTACATACTTGATATCCTGTCTACAGTATATCACAAGTGGAATAAAATACTTTAATGTTCCAGTCTTTTGTGATCATCGAAACTCTTGTTTTACAAGTATTTCAGTCTATGACCTGCACATGTTGTGCTGGGTAAAGCAAAATTGAGACAAAGAAATATAAATTGAAAAACACTCCTTCAATCGTTTACACTAATTCAGGTTATTGAATATAGAAAAGACTACATAATTCATTAAGAACAACTATGTCATATGTTGGCTCACTTGAACATTGATTACGCTTGAAAACAACTGTCTGTATACATTTTAATACACTGGCAATCAAACAGATTGAAACACCTCCCCATCACTGTCCATACTGATATTGAGTACGCTTAGGATTTCTTTTTAGACATGTAGAATTATTTGCCATATACTCAAAGTATACAAGTTAAACAGAGTGTTTCATCCCATAGAAAACTTCTCAGCTAAGTCTACTGTATAACTCCAGGTTGCTATTCATCATCAGCTGACGTCAACTGAAGAATCAATGGAAGCCTGGAAGCACTGGACAGCTGGTCTGACTTAGTGTAGGACTCTTCAGTAATGAGCACTCATAGCCTCTCCATGGATCGAATCCAGGAATTTACGCTCCATGGCCAACTCGTCACTATGTGATTGTTTGTAAAAGATTTGATTTTCTGATCCACTTAGTTCAGATGGGACTAATATGCATTACAAAATATTTTAGTATGAACAAATGAGAGAACTTTAGCTCGATACTGGTAATACTACTATTCTGTAAATTTTTTGATGTTACTTGTACCATCCCGCTGTTGATTGAACCGAATTAACCGGCCTCTATTGACATATGGGCTCCTATGCGTATGCCTCGATATTGCCTGTATTTTCAATTTTGATTTTGATGATGGATAGTGGTTAACAGCGGAATCCAAGACACGTGTCTCACCCTCTACGAGAATTGTCATCCGGACGTATCTACTTACCAGTGAGTGATGTTGTTCCTACTAAGACTCGAATCTTGGACAAATCACCTTCAAATGCCAGAATGTTATCCACTAAGCCACCAAGTCACGACAAATTAGTAAAACAACATTGCTTACTGGGAGGCATGTACATCCAGTTGACGAGTCCCAAACAGGAAGAAATGTGCATTATGGATTCCACTACTAGCCACTACGCATTATTAATATCAAAATTTCTGTAGAGTTTTTGCCATCATCGAATATAAGCAAGTAGAAATAAGCATATGAAACTATAAAATACTACATTCATTCCATTTCATATGTCACATGTCTTTCCTATGAAGCAAGAAATACAACGAAGTAAAGATCTGCTTAAGCCTTTAGAGGCTTTCATGATATGTTTAGCATTTATATCCTGTAAAATATTACGTCGTGTGTCTGCACAATATGCCAATAATATGACTTTTCTTAGTTAGACCTAGTGTAATATGATACGCTTTGTATGATTCGGTGTGGCCTTACATACATACATCTGAAAAATTCTTGGACAAGAAGAATAAGAAGAAGAAATACACCAGCAAAATCCTTTGACAAATATCAAGATAACCCAACCAGTCAGTCATGAAAGAAATAAGCATACGTAAATGAAACCTGATACTGCCTAGGGAAATTTATCCTGATGACCTGAAAAATTTACAAGTTAACCATCTTATTCAAAGCATGATCAAAACAACATAAGGTCGTCTTCCCACAGTCAATACGCATTCTATTCTCGTAAATATTTTCTCAAAAAATTTATCTGATGATGGAAATATTGAAAGCTTCATCTTGATATACCTTCAAAATTATTCTTGAGAAATAAAATTATCACTTCAAGTTGCTTATGATGTGAAGTGGAAAATACTTTAACATTATTTTTACTTTAACACCACTGAAAAGTACTCAGTAGACTCTAGAAGAAAGTGATTTCGTACTTCTAGTGAATTACAGACTATCATGTACGTTGGCCGTTTAGCCAACATTAACCTTCAGTCCTTATGAGAATAAGATGATATGCATTGATAATTATCTTTATAAACTGGGTAATGATTGAAGATGAAATGAAAATTTAACCGCAGCAGGATTTCAACCAGCAACCATCAGGTTTCTGGCCAGATACTCTATCAACTGAGCTGCGAGATCCAAATGCTGACCATATTTTAATTTCACTCCAGTCACCAAGTGTTTTTTCCGACTACCATGTGATGTGTTACTACAGCTTTACCGTATTCACACTGGCTGCCAACTAGTCAGGACTTCTCATCCCAATCCCAATTTAACTGAATAAGAGAGGGGAAGCATCATAATGGTTATCATTTCGACTGTCTGAGTAAGATAGCCGTGTTTTGGCAGACTAGTATTGATACTGAGTGATGGCTGAAAGTGAAATGAAAATTTGGACGGCGACCGGATTCGAACCAGCGACCACCAGGTAGTAACGCGTTGCGAATTCATATGATAGTTGGGCAAAACCCCGCTTATGAATAAAGTGGAATAAAAATTTGGTCAGTAGTCAGATCTCGTAGCTAAGTTTCTAGGGCATTGGGCCGAAAACCCAGTGGTCACATGTCTAAATCCAGAGGTGGTCGAAATTTCCATTTCACTTTCAATCATCACCCAGTATCAACAGTAGTATGCGAAACCACAGCTGTCTCAGATAGTCAAATCGATAATTACCAGTAGAATTTTTTTGCAGGGAACAGTATTTTGAAAATAATGATGAAAGGTATAATTGCCATGGCACCAAATGAATCCACCATTTATAAAGGCATGTGCAGACCAATGATCAGTGGAATCCAGGACGTACGTTCCGTTCTCTCTGGGATTCAGCAGCAGGATATGCCTTTTAGGTGTTCGAACATAGCACTCGTCTCTTCAAACGCCAAGGCTTTACCCACAAGGCCACTAAGGTACGGGAGTCACCATATGTGCAGCAGAGCCTTACACTAACAGAGTTCCATCAACTCAACCCAAAACAGCAATAAGAAATTGCGGAAATCACTAAATAATGAAGATAGTATCACACTACCTAACGGAAAACCTAGAGTATCATCAATTACCATGTATGTTCTAGTCACTGCAATTCAAATTACAATTTACCTTCACTTGACTTTTATCCGTAGCTAGTATAGATGTCCAACTAGTAAAATAATATCTTCATACGGACAGACGCTCTTAGATATCGAACTGACAGAAATATGTTACAATAATCACCGGGGTGGAAATCAAGCAATATATTGAGTTAGGTAAAGCTTATCCAAAGAAATTAGCAATACCAAACAACTTTTCAGAATATTCTGCTAAAAAAGCTGTGGCTTACATATTGAAGCGTTCAGATATATCTTATTTTGATTTCTTAAACACCCTGAAATTACATTAAAATATATATTGTTATAAGGATTCAACCAAACTCGGTGCTCAGCTTCTACCAAGACATTTGTAACTTTCAGTTACGCTTTACAAAAATTTGATGTACAGGATATTTACATTCAGGTAGCTTGTGAAGTAATATTGCTTTGTGTGAACGATTATATAAGAGGCATGATTTCATATAAGGGGAAAACGAAAACAATTGGCTTGCTGTAAATTTATCACCAGAATTTTTTATCAAAGATTGTTTCCAGAGAATCAGTCAAATACGTCAAAACAACTGATAGCCTTTTGTGGGTCATAGTATTCTGTTTCAAAAAGTTTTATTGACAAGATCATACCTGAATTGTAAAGATAATTAGCTTGTGTTAAGAGAATGACTACCTTTTCAGATGTATAGCTTATCTAATTAACCAATCCTAACAGAAAACAGATAAGTAGAACTAAAGAAGGTGAACTTTTGAAGAGGTGGTATGTACTGGGTTAGAGTTTCAGTGAGAACAGCATCACTACCGGTAGTGTAGATACATTCAGTTGACGAGTCTCACGCAGGACGAAATGTGCGTCGTGGATTCAACTGCAACTTACTAAGCAGACTACAATATAATAAAGGTGAACTTGAAAAGTAAAGAATCGAAGGTAAATAAAAAATAATAATCAGTTTAAAAACTTCAGGTTAATTTATTTGCTGAATAGGTTCTAATGGGTGACTAGTTAGAATTAAATAATACTCCGATGGTTGCTGGTTCGAATCCGGCCGTGGTCCAGATTTTCATCTCATCTTCAATCATCACCCAGTATACATACTCCAAGAATAATCAAGAAACATTATAAATGAAAAGAGAAGCTATAAACACAGAAAGTAAACAAAACAACCTTGATAATATTCTGCGGTTAGTGAGACAAAGATGTATACAAAAAAATTATTTGTAAACAACAATGTTATTAGTCACAGTCATAACAGGTTATTATAATAATTAGAAGCGAATGTACTTTTCATTCCTAACAATATAGCGTGAGAAAATGAACTCGTACAGATTCTTAGGTGTTCTAAGAGTGTGAAGGCATGCTGACACACTAAAGTGTCACACAGATTAATCCTCCTCTTTTTTTTATGAAAAACAACAAAACTTATTTACTAATTTATTTACTAACACTAAGTAGGAAGTATGGACTACTGTGTTTTGGCCCAGGAGGTCGATTCCTGCCGGGGTCATGCGTGTGCACTGTTGAGGAGTCCCAATAAACGTAAAGGAAAATCCACTTCACTATATCGTCTACGTAAGTCTTGCATGTAAAATGGGAGTAAGAGAATAGTTATTATTGTAACTTAAAGTACCTCAGGTAGCTGGCTTTCGGGATTTCATGAAGGAAACAGTGTCAAATACTGCCTTATTTTCAGCGTTGGTTGTTGGACTTCTTTTTACTGGCTTTTCGATGTAGATAAACACTAATAATGCTACAGCTTCAAGCTGTTTTCATCATGGACTGGCATCATTTAGGGAACCATTGGATGGCTGTTTCGTCCCAGGAAAGGATTCCCTAACATCAGGCATCTGTAACCCCACGAGGAATAGAAAACGGGACCTCTAGGCCGCACAGCTAGCACGTTACCATTGAGCCACTGCGTCATAAGCCAATGGTTCATATTTTCTTACTCCTTTCAGCTCAGGCCACACTGTGACCTACATTAAATGAAATCGGTGAGAAACCTTCCTTATGTCCGACTTAATTCACCCTACTGGTCATGGTTCATGATTAACGCTAGCCTGAAGTCAATAAGTACGTCTCCACAAACCTCCAAATTGAATTCTACCGTTTTTTGTGAACTATTTTAACGTAATATGGAGAAAAATTAATGGTGCGTTCGATTTAATGATTTTAGAACGCAGTTCAAGTTTTATTTATCGTTTACTGGCTGTTTCATCACGAAAGAAAACATCTTGACAGGTATTTTAACCTCCAAAGCTCTCAGGCAAAGGGTTTATCGTATATTTTAGATTTTACAGAAGTTCAAATTAACAACCCAATCTAGAACGTAGCTTGGAACCATCAAGTCTGTAAACAACCAAATTACCACTCGCTAACCGGTGTCAACAATGGGCAAACGCTGGACCAATGAAAAGACCCCAGAAGAAGATTTGGATTTCACCAACGATGATGATTTATATCTAACGTTACACAAATTCGAAGATCTACAGGCGAAAGCCAACAAGTTGACAAAAGAGGCAGGGCAGCAAAGACGGGACTTCAAGTGAATGTAGAGAAGACGGAGGTAATGAAGATACCCAACCAACAACAGCATCAACAATAAACACCAGTCACCACTAACGTGAGAAACCGAAAGGAAGAAGTCTCTGCCACCTACACCTACACCTACCTAGGCAGCATCGTTCCAACTACAAGCAGCAGCACAGACACAGACAACGATGTCAAAGCCTGGCTGGCTGGCTGGCTGGCTGGCTGGCAACGAAACAAGAACCTGTCACCCAACAAATATGCAGACGAAGAAAGTGGAGATGGGTTGGATTGGATTGGGCATAGACTGAGAAGGCTGATTGTGGACACCACGTGCCAGACCAGACCTCACGCTCGAGTGGAATCCAAAGTGGAAAGGATGAGTTGTGTGTCCCAGCTGAGGGTGACATGGAGTAGATGGTGTGAGGAAGAAATGAAAGGTGATGGGCAGTTGTGGAGCGAGGTTCAAAAGACTGGAGAGAAGAGAAGAGAAGAGAGTGGAATGGAGGTGTGCTAGTGACTCGCTATGTTCCACTCGGAACCCAAGGGAAAAAAATAACCGGTGTCAACAGAAAGTAGAATCCAGAGTTTCAAGTTATCTGTATTACTTGGACCAGTAGTCAAGTATGAAATTTTCGGTCAAAATATTCGCATGAATAGATTCAGATAACTTTATAAAATACTTGGAAAGTTTGTTAGCTTTCTTTCGGATAGCACATTTTGATTATCAGTGATTCGTGGCTTTTGAATTTGTCAATTACTCCCAAGTTAATACTATCAATTCTATAAAGTAAATTTCGATCGAGAAAATAAACATGCACTAGATTTTTAAGGTATGAATGAAAATTCGGACAAATAAGTAAAGTAACTGGCCGGCTATACTTATAGTGATTCACATAATCTTGGTGAAGAATGAGTTTAGACAGTATTCATCAGAGGACTGATATCAGTTGAACAAACATTGAAAATCTGACCACACTAGACATCTTTTTGTCCTAGTTTTAGAATCTGTAGCAGTATGAACCCACAGCCCCACCAGAAGTCGAATTAAAGAAGTTTATATCATGCGGCAAATGGGTTAACCTTTCAGGCATTGAGTTGCATTCTAATGATCTACAGTTTCATACTTGTTTTAGTTTGCAATATAGTTCAACTATTCTTCAAGGCTCCCAGCTAGCATCTACTTCAATTTTGACTGGTTGACATAAAAAGTCACAGTTTCTTCTCAGATCTTTGAGATATCCATCTGAAAGTATATCACTAATGAACATGAGAAAGTAATTTGGTTTGAGGTTTATAGAAATTTTATTTATTTCTCAGGTAGTATTCACCAAGATTATCTCCTGGATATTGAATCAGATAGTCATGGGTGACAGGATAAACTGTAGATTAAAATTTCTGTCTTATTTTTATCGTTAATAATTATTTTCAAAGCATAACTTTTCTACAAAAAGAAAGTTACTTCTTTGTCTACAGATCCTAACGTCAATCTCCTATGCGCTGTACCAAATGTGGAAAATATCAAGACTAAAGGTGAGTGTGAATTAATGATTTTCTAATCCAAGTTGTTATTCATCATAGACTGACATCAGTTGGAGGAACAAAAGAGACCCAGGAGCACTGGACAGCTGTTTCGTCCTAGTATGGGACTCCTCAGCAGTGCACACCTACGATCCCGCACCACCAGCAATCGAACCCGCGACCTTCAGGTTCCGTGGCCAACACGTTACTATTGAACCACTGGGTCAGAATCCAATGGTCCATATTCCCAACTTCTGTTTCCTTTGTTCCTCCAACTGATATCAGTCTACGATGAATAACAGCTTGAAATATTTCTAAATCCCCACAACTTCCTCAAAATTCAATTCTGTTTAAGATAACACGTTTCTCCTCAAGTTAGATTTTACTGTTATTGTGATTTGAGGATTTGGCTCGACCCCAAACTATCCGAATGGCCGTCCAGTGTTTACATCAAATGAATTTACCTGGCACATGAAACCTACAGATCAGTCTGAGTAATGTCTAACTAATCAAGTTGTTCAGTAGCATTATATTTTTATAGTTATTCATTATTCATTTCCACTAATTTCAAGGTTCACTACTGAAATCTAGGTAGGATTGTTGCACATAAGTACTCACCTTGTGTTTCAGACAAGCTTCAGTAATTAGATTATTTCATCTAATGATTAGATTGGTTTTTACTGGAAGTCTAAGTAACACATGGGAAGTGAATTTCTCCTGTGCTGCAGTCTAAAAAGAGAGTAATAATGAGTATTTAAACCAACATACAATCTTAAATCAATTCCCATACATCCTTTCAGACAACAGGAACTTGGTTAGTTTTCGATAATCAATTAGAGTATCTAATCTAGTCCTATGGAAGGTTAATCGTAGCATGAGTAGCAAAATGGCAAATGTCTCTGACTACAGCCTGAGCGACATGGTTCCGAGTCTTTCAAAAGACATCAATCCCCCTTAGGTAAACGACTGTAAATAAACATGAAACCTAGGCTCCCTACCGACTTTCTCCAAATAATTAACTTTAATCACAGTGCACAACTTCGCTGAGTCTTTTGGCTTCGTGAACATACAGTAAAATGATCTATGGAATTCAGTAAGGACTTAGCTCTAGATAACATGAAATTGATTACTTCATAGTGACTATCTAGAGTACAGATTACCTGTGCAGTAGCCATCTCATTCACGACAAATGTAAAAATTAAAGGATAGACCCAATTCAGGGATTTATACAATTACAATTTCTCTTTTATTACCTTCTCGCTCTCATAAAGTAATCTAATCTACAACTCATATCAACCTCTTGAAAAATTCAATTGTTTTTATATTGAGAAGGATGAATAATTTCCGAATTTATTGTGATTTTTCTGATGTAGACCTATGCTTTTTTCCCCAACTCATGTGTTGCTAGTCTGAATAAAATTCTTATCCCCATTTTGTACTGAGCACCGTTTCTATCATCTTATGAAAAGTGTTATATATGAACCATTGGCTGAGAGAATGTTCATGTATGTAGTATGAACAGCTCTGTTGTTATAGCTTGTAAAATTATCACTCATTGGGAGGCAGATACATCTGGCTGACGAGTCCTCAATCGGACGAAACACACGTCCTGAATTCTACTAATAAACCTTAGGTATCACTAGCGTAAACAGTTGAAAAAAGTAAGGTGGAACAATGTCACGAAGTGAGTTGGTATAAGCCAAGTGTAAGAAATCCGCCAATGTTGGACAATTCCTGTAATCCATCATAAATTTTCAGAACATGTAAGAGACAAAAAAATCACAGATATTATTAATTCTAGAGAGGAACAATCTCTTTAAAATAAATTTTAACCTTTGAGACTAATCCTGAAATTAACTTTTTAATACATTAGAGTTATTTCCACCCGATCGATTGGGCATTTTTAAGATATTCTCTGTGTTATTACAGAATCATGTCAATGGATTCCATAGACATTATGTTCTGATTGTTCACCCAGCCACTTCTTTCAAAGGATATACTTCAAACAACAGAGTGTAACATTCAAATTGTGTTTCTGGGTTCAAAATGGGAGTCAGTGTTGTATGTATTTAATGACGCCATTTGAGTTGAGCCATCAACACGTCAGATTTGATGCACTCTTTGGGGAAGAATCCTACCCTTTAGACAACATTTCAAAATACTAGATTATATAATGCTCAAAAATGTAAAATGCTCATGAAGTTCACCATAACTTTGTTAAATTCGTGTTAAATGAAAAAATTCGCCGATAAATTTTTTGAATCATATTGCTTATTCTGTTTTTCAGTACCATGTTTCGTCGACACAGCTTTGAAAACTAATCCATCAACCAGTTTGGAAAGACCTATAGGTTCTTCGGTCACTTTCAACTGTGAAGCTGAAGGTACCGAACCGATAAGGTACCGATGGTTTATGGGTAATGCGGTAGCCGACTGGATAAAACCGGTCAAGGTGTTCGTGGACCAATCTTAACAATTGATCGAGTTGGTCGAGAACATACTGGACAGTATACATGTCAGGTTTCAAATGCAGCCGGAAGCTTAAATTACACTTACAGGCTACTAGTCAGTGGTAAGTTGGAATGTTTTTCAAGAATTAGCTACTTAGGTAATAAGCTTCGAATAGTAAGTGAAATACATAGTGTTAAGTCTAATTTTGTAGTAACATGATTTATGTTTGCTTAAATCTGAATGGTAGTCATCTTCATACTGACCATTGGTGGATTAAGGGCTCTGTCGCTTCTTCAGTAAACTGCAGTAAATTTTTGGAAAGATCACTCGTATTCATCTATCATTACAGCATTATTAGCTCACTCATCCAGACTTTAAAAGATGACGATTAGAGAGGAAATTGAAAACCTATCCCCGACAGGATTCGAAACAGAGATATCTGGGCTTCAGACCTGGTGTTCTACTAACTGAGTTACGAGATCCATCTACTGACCATACCTTAATTTCGCTTCAACCACCAAGGGTTTTGCCCTACTGTCATATGAACTCTTGGTGTGTTACTATCACTTGATCGTATTCTTACCGGCTCCTGGCCAGTAACCTAAATGTAACTGTTTCAAATCTTGCCGCTGCCTAGATTCCTATTCCACCTTCAATCATCACTCATTATCAGTAATACAAGTCTGCTAAATTACGTCTGTCTCAGATAGTTAAGCTGAAAATACTCAATACACAATTCCGAAGTCTTCACCTTCAAAGAATAGTTTGATATACAGAATTCATGATGATATTAACTATGTACATCCAAAATATTAAACATTGGCTTGATGTATTATAGAGCTGCAATGAAATGAAAGTCCACCCTCTTGTAAAAAAAATAAGCAGAATGAAATGTGAAAATTATTTCCTGTTCCTTCATTTACTGATTCATAATATCGGATAAGAAGTGATGGATAAGTTGAAGAAAATATTCCAACTTTCTTACATTTTCTTCTCCACTTATTATTATTTTCTTCATCCATTCTTACGTCTGGGTCACTTGCACGTCACTCAACACTATCCATTAGCTATATTCATAATAATAATAATCTATTAAATAGGAGAAGGGGAGAGAGAGAGTTAGCTGTCTGTCAGTGAAGCTCCAACGCTTTTGTTTACTGATATTCTCCTCGGTAGTCCGTTTTTACCAGTATCATTATTCTTCACTTCATAATAATTATACTTCAATTATGATTTTGAAGATAATAAGGGAGATGTTCATTATAATGGTAATATTGGACACATCAGCTGTCAGTAACATATTGCAATGTAGAAAGAAAAATCAGGAAACTATTTCTAAAGTTTCATCAGAAAAGTTGCTTTTCACGCATTATTGTTCCTCCTCCTCTCCATATCCAGAATATCTAGATCTACAGTCAGATACAAGTAGATTTGCATGTATGTATTTTGATTCCTGTGCTGCAATTTCGGTTTGGATATTACTTAATAGGATAATTTGAAACGAGAATTATATCATGATAACAAGATTTCACTCAGTTAGCTGTCTATCTCCTTTAATAATCCACAAGAAGGAGGAATAACAAGCCAGTAAAATAATCCTTATTTTCATGTATGAGACATATGAACTCAGTGGGACAGATTATACCAGGCCAATGGATGACATCTTTTCGTTAGATATGAATAAAATATTTCATTCGAGTTGGGAATTTAATCAACAAAAACATCGTGGGACTTCTTGAATTGTGAATAGCTGTCAATCTTAGAACCATAGAGGTTACCGAAATTTTAAACTTTATCGTAAGTACCGTTGCATCTCTGGTCTCTGTTACTTCTGAGATAAGTATTATTCACGTTAAAATTAGTCAAAGAGTAAAGGAAAGGAAACACCTGAATAATGTGAATTTGAAATTCCTGTTGCTTATCTGAGAAATCGCTTTTTGGAAGCACGAAATACAAAACCCAATCGGAAAAATATAGCTGCTTAACTTCTTATGATGCACCATGTATGTTCTGATTTGTCATCTCAGCTTGACATTTCCTATAATTTTTATTCGTAGGACTAAATTAGCCAGTATTTTTTCAGCATATTGACAGCCTGATTCTCCCTTTGGTCAGATCATGACATTCTTTGGTGTTGGCTGGTACAAAAATATAGGAAATGTATTACGCCATAATTAGGGTTCATCGTCCAGACTACTTTTGTTTTGAGATGTAATGACAAGTCATTTATGTTGAACATAAAGTGACAAACGCCCCCCTAACAGAATAGCCTTCTGATATCTAAATAAAACATTCTCAAGTTCCATTCCATGTGGAAATGCCAACAAGGACGACTAATTTAACCGGCTGATGGGTCTTAAAACCCATGAAAATAACATTGTAGATTCCATTTTTGACTAAATACCAGCACATACTAAGATGTTTAGTTATTCACACCTATATTTCAGTTTTGTTGTTCTAATAAATCAACATAATAGTGCATATTATTCAGTAGTGTGACCATTTTGTTCCACTGCAATTAGGACTTAGAAAGTCTAAGTTAAATGATTAGAAATGGAATACTAGTTATTGAATCTAAACTGGATGACGAGTTTATATTGTTATACTACTTGTTAGTAATATGGATCTAAATAAGGAAATTCTGTTTCAAAGAAAAAGACAGTTTTCAAGTTCTATGGAAATTACTTCGAAGTTGACAGTTTTGCAACGTAGGTTAAGAAGTAGACCTACTTCTTCCATATATTAAATTTGAAATATGAGGATATAAGCTTACGAAACTAATTGTAAAGACACTACCATTTATTCCGTATATTAATGATGGGCAGTGGCTAGCAGTGGAATCCAGGATGTGCATTTCGTCCGATTTAGGGCTCGTCAGCTGGACGTGCCTGCCTCCCAGTGAGTGTTGTTCCCACAGGGACTCGGAATCCGAAGCGATTGCTTCATACGCAAGAGCGTTATCCATTACACCATCGAACCACGATAGCCACTTCTTGTGCAACGCGTATAGTTTTAGTCCGAGTCCTGGTGGGAACAACACTCACTGAGAGGCAGTTGCATCCAGCTGACGAGTCCTAAATAGGTTGAAATGAGCGTCTTGGATTCCACTGCTAGGCACTTCCCATCATTACTATGCATAATAAAGCACAGGCAATATCGAGGCATCCGCACAGAAGCCCTTATGTGAACATAAACTGATCAATTCGGTCCAATCAACGACGGTGTAATACAACCAATAACACTATTCCATATATTGCTAACAATGGAAGGGTTTGAAATCAGTTGGCATGAGAAAACAGGAAATCTGTTTGACAATCGACTAAATGAAGTGTGGGTTTGATTAGTCATGCCTTTTGTCAAACTGAAACTTGATAGTAGTCGAGACTTTCATCCTTATCTTTATAAAGAAGTCTGTATTACTTGTGTCCAAGTTGCTGAAATATCAACAGTTAGTAACAAAAGACCTCTGTTGGTGTTATTCCAAGTCAATTACAAAAGGGTTATGAATAAATATTCCTTATCTTCTTGTAAAGTTTAGCTATTTCATAACTCTTTGTCTACTTTTTCTCATTTCATCTATATATTCATCTTTTTATTCAATGTAATGTCCTTCTGTATCTCTTGTTTATTTTATTACAAGGCGGGCTGGTTAAATCTTGGGCTACTAAAAAACTTTCCACTGATTATATTCCACCAAATTCTTTCCTTTCAGTTTGTTTAAATGTTTCAAATGTCTTCTGAACACATCATGTAACCCTGCAGGTTTTTAAAATATTTTCGAACTTTTGCTTCTTAAGCTAAGAACAAAACACAAGAAAAGTGTTCTGCCAATTGGAAATGGATTTGTAAATGCTTAAAAATACACCACATTACAATTCGTAGGATAATTGTATGGGATTAGGAATTTGTGTGCTGGTTGACTGAACTGCCACCATCAAAATTACATTTCACACTTATACCTTCAATACTGTTATGATTAGTACTATGCAGACGTAATAATTATTTCTTTAAAAAATATTGTGTGGAAAGCAAATTTGTTAAAATATTCCATGAGGAAAATCCCATGCTGTCTCAAACATGTTGTTTGGAATAAAGCGAATATTATTATTACTTATGGGAAGACGTGACGCCTAGCTTGTCCTTTCCCCTTTCGGATTCCACTCGACGACCTGGTCTGGTGCACGATGTCCCCAGCCGGCCTTTCCAGTGTATGCCTGATCCATCTCCACTTTCTTATGCATATTTTTTGGACGATGGGTTCTTGGTTGGTTCGTTCCCATAGTTCCTTGTTGCTTATTCTTATTGTTCTGGCCATCTGATATTCAGTATCGAGTGAGCGTAGACGGCAGCTGTTGATGAATATCTGAAGTTTGTTGGAAGCGCTTTTCGTGACACGCCAAGTTTCTGAACTATATAGAAGCACTGACTTAACGTTGGTGTTGAAAATCCGGATGTTGTTCCGCATGCTGAGTGCAGAAGATTTTCACACTGGTTTCAGGTTAATGAACACCTATCTTGCTGTCTTTCCGAACCTGGCTGGCTTTGACGTCTTCGTCTGTGCCGCCTGTAGTTGAAGTGATGCTGTCTCCTAGGTAGGTGAAAGAGGCTACTTCCTTCAAGTTTCTCCCGTTGATGGTGATTGGAGATTGTTGTTGTTGCTGGTGTTGTTTTTTGGGTATCGTCTCCTCTATATTCATCCGAAGTCCCGTCTTCACTGGCCTGCCCTGCCTCTTCTGTCAACTTGTTAGTTTTCGCCTGTAGATCTTCAAGTTTGTGCGACATTAGACACAAGTCATCGGCGAAATCCAAGTCTTCTAAGTTCTTTTCCGCAGTCCAGCGTATCCCCCTCTTCTCGCTCTTCACTGTTTGTGGCATGATCCAGTACAGTCAGCCACTATCAGGAATATCATGGGGGATAGTAGACAGCCTTGTTTTGTCTCACTCCTGTCTTCACTTCAAAAACATCACTGAACTTCCCATTGTGAATTACTTGGCATGTGGCGTCTTCATATAGTTGTTGAATGAGGCTGATAAAGGTTTGTGGTATTCCGTGGTGTTGGAGCAGTTGCCAAATTACTTGTCGGTCGACGCTGTCAAAGGCCTTTTCAAAGTCGATGAAGTTGAGGTAGAGAGTTGGCTGACATTCTATACTTTGTTCTATGATGATGCAAACAGTAGCATTGCAATTCGGTCCACACATGACTTGTACTTCCTGAATTCAGTCAACCAGCCTGTTCCGGTCGTAGTTTTGAATCCAGTGCATCCTTTAGTCTCTCGAGTATGATGCGGCTTAATATTTTGCTTGGGGTGGACAGGAGCATGATTCCACACCAGTTCTTGCAAACACTGAGGTCGCCCTTCTTCGGGTGTTCGACAAGGTAGCCCCTCTTCCAGTTATTCTGCAGGTACCTTTCCTTCCTTTCTTCCAAACCTTCTGCAGTAGTGGTGTAAGGATATCCGCTGTTGTTCCTGCGTCTGCGTCGAAGAAATACAATTATTTGCTTCATAACTTCATTAGAGGAAACAACTTATGTTCATATCTTACAGGCGAACAGATATTTTTGGTGGTGATGTGTCTGTGAAAATAATAGATTTTAGAAACTATCAATCCGCCTTTATCGTTGCTTTCTAACAAAGAGATGATTACGATAAATGCTCTTTAGGCAGTATAAACTTACTAAATAACTTCCAGATCCATTCTGACCAGCTTTGAATACCTCTTCATAGCGAACGGCACTATATTTAGTAATAATTTTAAATAAAAGTTACTTCTCAGTTGCCCCTAAATCTGAATACTAAACGACTAAATTTTAATGCAAAAATCTGTGAATCACAATGACACCCTTCTACTCATTGTCGAAACAGTTTCACCTTTCACCTGAAATATGCATAGTAAACAGAGGTAACTTTACCATATAAAGCAACAGAAGCTTAGAAATGGTCGAAACCAAGCGTATTTACAGATTATTTCATTTCATCCTATGGAAGTGTCTTTTATCGGCTTAGGAGCTCGACTTTCTAGCATTGGGTTGTAGGTTTGATACCCACCTCATCCACTTCTATTTGGGTGACAAGAGAGCTTTGTGCGTCCTCATGAAATCAGTGTAGCTTTTAGTCTAGCAAATAAATATGTGTCTGGTTGAATTACAACGATTATTAGTCACATGTTAAGTGTAATAAAAATGATTTTATTCCTTTTTAATTGATACCTTTTTTTAGAACCACCATCAGCTACACCAAAAATTATTGGTCCTGTACAGAATTACACCTTCAAAAATGATGATAGTGCAACAGTTATAGCGAGAATAAAGTGTTCATGTGATGAACCTGTTATACAGGTAAGCTCTTTTAACATTTTCTATGAAATAAATCAATACTTTGTATTGATTGGTCACAGTAAAGCAACCAGTTTCATGTTGTCTAGTCCTGAGTGCAGACCGAATCCTATAGATCATATTTGAAATGTGGCCACCAAACTAGGAGGCTCAATATCGTGGTGCACATTAGTAGATGTTAGCCGGTTAGAGGTTTCCTGCTTGTTGGCACTCGTCAGCCAAACTTATCTGCAACCTCGACGGAACTGATATCCTGCCTGAGATTCAAACCCGCATCATCCAGTGCTGTAGTCAACAAATTTACCACTGAGCTATTCGGGCCCCGACTTTAAATAAAGTACTTTGATTTTTATAAAAGCAGTCACCTAGATGATACTATCCATTCACGAATACTGAAAGTGCATTCATTATTACTGCTATTTTTCCCTTGGGTTCCTAGTGGAACATACCGCTTCAGTAGCACACCTCCATTGCACTCTCTTCTCTCCAGTCTTTTCAACCTGGCTCCAAGGCTTCTTAGAAGCTTTCATTTCTTCCTCACACCATCTCCTCCATATCACCCTCATCTGGGACACACAACTGGTCGTTTCCACTTTGGATTCCACTCGAGTGCCTGTCGCATGATGTCTCCGAATGGTCTTCTCAGTGTACGGCCAATCCATCTCCACTCCCTTCTGGTGCATATTTGTTGGGTGATGGGTTCTTGGTTGGTTCGTCACCAGCCAGTGTGAGTTCCTTGCTGCTTATTCTTTCTTGGCATCTAATATTCAATGTCTACTGAGTGTAGGCGGCGGCTGTTGATGGATGTCTGTAGTTTTTTGGAAATGCTTTGCGTGACGCGGCAAGTTTCTCACCCATCACACTGAAGCATTGACTCGGCTGAATTAGTGTTAAAACTCCGGATCTTGTTCTTTATGCTGAGTGCAGTGCAGTGCAATAGATCTTCACACTGATTTCGGGTTACTGAAGTCCTGTCTTGCTTTTCCGATCCTGCCCTTGACATCCTCATCTGTGCCTGTGCTGCCGCCTGTAGTTGAAACGATGCTGCCTAGGTAGGCAGGTAGGTAGGCGGGTAGATGAAACAGACTATTTCCTTAAGGTTTCTCCCGTTCATGGTGACTGGTGCTTGTTATTGTTGTTGGCTGGACATCTTCATCACCTCTGTCTTCTCTACGTTCACTTAAAGTCCCGTTTTCGTCACCCTGCCTCTTCTGTCAACTTGTTGATTTTTGCCTGTACATCTTCGAGTTTTTGCGACAAGGCATTAGATATAAATCATCATCGTTGGTGAAATCAAAATCTTCTAGGGTCTTTTCATGGGTCCAGCCAGCGTATATCCATCTTCTTGCTTCTCACAGTTTGTTACATGATCCACTCCAGTCCAGTTCAGTCAACCACAATCAGGAAGATCATCAGTGATAGCAGCGAACCTTATCTTGTTTTGCTCCTGTCTTCACTTCACTTCAAAGGTGTCAGTGAGCTTTCCATTGTCAATCACTTGGAATGTAGCGTCTTCATATAGGTGTTGAATGAAGCTGGTAAAGGTTTATGGCACTAAAACCGTAGTGTTGAGGCAGCTGTCAAATTACTTTTCGGTCGATGCTATCGGAGGCCTTTTCAAAGTCATTGAACTTGAGGTAGAAATTCGACTGCCATTCTATGCTCTGTTCTATATATTCCTTGATGTTGATTCCGAATTCTGTAGGTTTCAAGTTGAAATGTTTTCGAAGTGAAACAATGTGATTAAAAAACTGCTCATTCATATTTCTTTCTTGTTAATACAAAGAGACAAGTCGAAGGATATGATCATTGTCCTCTATGATATTTACTATAGTACTGTTTAAATATTCACATATGATCATCCCTATTTCTAACTTGTAATGTTATTTGATGGTAAGTCTTATAGTGTAGAATAGGATTGTACAAATCTTTATAAGAAGCCGTAAACTCCAAAAGGCTTTTTCATCCAATTGTTTTGTTGCGAAATTTCCCTAATACTATTAACCAATAGAAAAACATCTGATTTATATAGGATATCATGAAAAATTTATCTCTTTACGAAGATGAACTCAGTGTCAAACAGGTTGATTCACTTATTTTAGTAATCACAATAACAATCTTTGAGAAAATGTTTATTTCAATAGAGTCTGATACATCAAATTCATATATGTATACTTCTTTTGTACGTTATTTTGGAGTATGATAACTTCAGTAAGATACTGTATACTTTGAGAATGCATGTACATAAGTAGGATTAACAAGATGATAAATATTGATGACGACTAAAAATGAACTTTCAATCATTGACATCCAATTTATACACTTACAGTTGCTTATTCATAGACACGTGTCATTAATATTATCAAAGTATATCCGCCATTGTGTCGATGTAAATGCCTGAGGGCATAAATTTAGGTGTTTGAATGATATGAAAGAGAAAAGAAATTCATTATCTAGAAATTTTCTTCTACACAGAAAGTAATTCAATGAATTTTTTTAGATTGTATGTTAGAAAATTAAACTTTTAAGGCATGAAGCTGGAAACGTCATCAAGTAAATCAAATAAACAAATCTAATATGGAATTAAATTCTACAACAGTGCCCAACTTTTACACCTATATTAATGAAGCTTCATTATTCTAATGTTTTCAACATTCCAATCTTATATTCGCACATATCATAAGTATGTAACAATCTATTCCTTCATTTCTTATCTAAAATTACACTGAGCATAGTTCATAAATTGATCTTGTAAAAAATGTTCATAAATGAAAGTATAGTATTGATGACCATGTCGGGGATTTCTGAAGCAGTTCCAAGTGAATTATATTTATTCATTAGTACATTGAATTTATGTACACATAAGAGAATGTGAAAGTTTTTTTAGTCTTTAGAACAAAATCATATGAAGCTATTTGAAATATGCTATTAAATAGTATAAGTAGTTTTAGAACACTCATTCATGCCTATCAAAAGTGCTCACTAGCCTAGGTAAAAGTGATTTTAGCGTTGGATAACTGTTTCATTCTTTTGGCGCCTAATTCACAAGTCATATACCTGAATTATTTAAACAACAAGATTATTGATTCGCTTACATGAATCATATTGAAATGGATATTGTTGGTCCTAACTATTTTCTCGGTTGTTAATCCAGGTTTTTCAGTTTGATTTCACTTGAAGTAATTTTAAATAAATATTCTAAAGCTTTCATTAACGCTTGGGAATATTCTATTAGTGAGTGGCAAGAACAACCTGATCGTTTTGTTGCTGCCTTTAGTCATTTCTTGATATTACCTAAAACTGCAAAGAAATATATTTGTAAAATCTCATTGACATTCCGCAGCATTTCAGGAAGCGAGTTCTGCAAGGTCATAAAACGTCAGAAATTTTTCTACTTAGTTAGGATTTTATAAATATAACTTCTTTGTAAACCGTTTCCTAATGCTAAACGTATTCAATTTGATCAGGTCAAATTTGATCCTGAAGTAAAAAAAAAGCTGAAATTAAGATGTATATTTTGTGGTACTTGGGGATCGTCATTTCAATTCCAGCTATTGCAGGAATCGAGTACCTGTCTTGTATCCAATGCACTAGTGAGTAAAGATGGTCACTTTTGAAATAAACTGTTTCTTTACTATGGGTTAAATGCTTCAGTTTTTCGGAAGTTTTGTATACAATAGTGACGATGGATAGTGGTTAGGAGTGGAATTCAGCTTGATGTAGGCTTCGTCCTATTTGGGACTCGTCAGTTGAGTGTACCTACCTCCTAGTGAGCAATGTTGTTCCCGCCAGGACTCAAACTCGTGGCCGATTGCCTCGAATGCCAGAGAAATATCCATTAGACCAACAAGTTGCACAAGAAGTGGCTATCGAGATCCAGTTAGGTTGAAGACTAATTTATTGAGGAAAACAAAGCAAAGAAACGTGAAAAGTCTCAAGAAATCTAAAGTATCAGTGTACAGTAGCGTTCTACAGATGTATTCAGTCAAGATTCACTTTCCTTCCCAAGAAAACTTCTCAAATACTAGATGTAAGCTATAAAAAATGGTAAACTTGCTGTTATCAACTTCATGGGACATGCTCACGTGCTGCTATGTACGACCAAGGTGGTTTAAAAATTTATGCTTGGATGACTGAACATCTTAGTAATTTTATTACACGAAATTCAAAACTAACATTATTTTTAACAAGAAGAACAGAAACCACTTAATAGAAGTGCATAACCAGTTTAAGTTCAGCGATAAAATTTGAACCAGCTGAAATCACTATTCATTGCTAGATTTTCGAGTAATCAACTCATTTTAATCCATTTTTTATCACTGAATAATATCACCTAGTGAACTAATAAAACTTGGGAAGCTCTGGGCAATATGCAAGCATACTGGCTGTGAGAACTAATCCTTCTGGGTTTAATCATATATAGATTTATCAATATGTGTTACCGATGAATCCTGAATTAGGACAAAGCCAGTTGTAAAGTATTATCTGCTTTTTAGTGATGATTTAGCTGAAAGGTATCTATGATTTGAATGTATCAAAGAATGATAAATATTCTATCTATTTTCAGTCATAAATATAACTTTCAACTTTGTTTAACAGTTTATTATTAAGCGTTTTATCCTATCTCAAAATTTATTCATTTCAGTGGTTGAAACGAGTTGAACCAGGTGAAGATATAATGTATCAACAGTTAGGTGCAACAAAAATATCCCTACCAAATGCAAGAATTACCGAACAAAATGAAGTATACGTAATATTAGGCTCATGGAATGATTCTCCAGCAGTTGTTGAAAAGACAATAGCTTATATAGATCGATCTAAAACTCTTCATGACATTATCATACCATCTGAATTAAATCATCCACAAATTATTGATAGTAGTGATGATAAAAGATCAATGTATTTTCATGCTAAATCAAATTATATTAAACCTAATAGTCAACAACATATTGTCATTGAGAAGAAAGAGCAACTTTTTATTACTAAATTACGATTTCAGAAACCATTAAATAAAGAAAGACATGAAGGCAAATATATTGTAATGACTATGAGTTTATCAGACGTCAAAACTTTAGAATATGTTGTAATATATGTCAATATAGTTCAAGGTGGGTCAACTAATTTTACTTTTTACCATTTATTAATAAACAATTACCAGTTTTTACTGAATTATATAACTAGTCTCTTGTTAGTTTTTGACTCAGTGGTTTAAGCACTGGATTTACAATATGGTAGAGAAATATTTTCCTTTCAGCTCTTACTGTCGAATGCATATTGCATTGGTATTTCTAGACTGTGACAGTAATGCAACACTCGTAAATATCTATTACTGATTAACTGGTTTATCGAAGTTGCTTTATTCAAGACCTCTTTAATAGAACTACATATGGAGGTAAGAACTATTGGTTTAGAAACTCTACTTTCAGCTGTTGGTTAACGGTCTCACTTCAACTAATGAAGTCTTGTCTTATAGAAAGTATCCTTGACTATCACACGATAGGTGTGGCTAATTGCTTTTTACATGGACGTGTTCATGTTTACTAAGTTACACTATTCAGAATGTATCTTATGAAAGGTAATCAGATTTTTTATGAACAAGTAAATAAAGTACATCATCTGTACTGAAGTCTTGTAAAAACTGTTCATAGTACTCAGGTTTGTACTAATCATGGACTGATATCAATTCAAGAAACATAAGAAATCTGTAAGTACTGGACATCTGTTTCGTTCCATTATGGAGTTCTTCAGCAGTGCGTACCATGACCACACCCATCCCACCAGGAATCGAACCCAGGACCTTCAGGTATCACGGCCAGTACGTTATCATTGACCCACTGGGTCGGAATCCAATATTCCACATTTCCTACTTCTATCACTTCACGATATAGTATGAACTCTATCCAATGCTATCGTTGAATACCTGTCTTCATGACTGACAGGGTTGGCTTTTCTGGTCACCAACTCCTCATTAGAACTTCGGAGATCACATCTAGAAGTAAGTTACTAATGACTACTAGATAATATTTCCTTTTTGGGGTTTCTAGGGGTTCCCATACTTGAACCAAGCATGTATCCAGTGAAACCAGGTTTTCAATGGTTCCTCAACGGATCCCAGTGAGTGATGAAAGCCAACCTGAAACAAAACCACGATACTGTATCACATATTTCAGCTACGATGTTAAGTTCCACAATAAGTAAACCTCAATTAGTATGTAAAAGACCATGACGTCTTTGATGTTATGAAAAAATTATGACCTCTAACTTGATTTCTAATTACAAACTGTTTCTTGAAAAGTAGTTACATAAAGAATTCAAACAGCTATTGAAATTTGTTAAGTGTTTTCTCTTCATTTGTTTCATTTAGATTCTGCCTTTTTGAAAGGCCGACGTGTTCTAATATATTTCCTTGTTCCATTTGCTATTCTACTTGCTGTTCTTGGGTTAATAGCCTACATGTTTGTATTTCGCCGTAAACGTGCACCAGATCACCTAATATCCTCAAGCAATGAAAGATGTATCCTGAGAACAGCTGAACTCAGCCCTGAAGCATATCATGTTATACCGAATGGAAAGAAATCCTCCAGTTTGCATACATCATCTAGACAATCTTCAAATAGTCAAAATACTGGAAAACCAAACTATTCTTTTATGGGTGTTCAGTCAGTGTTTACTTCAAGCGATAATCAATATAATCACACTCAAAAGGGACCAGAATTGAATAATCCTTATCCAGGTATTCAAGTTAATCCATCACAGTATAATCCTTCTGTGAATTTCTCTCAAAATACAACAATGACTGGTGATCCACGACTACTTTTAAACATAAGTGACGATTCTAGTCGCGTCAACAGTAAGGCAAATTCTGGACCAACTGTAAATGGTAATTGTATGCCAAATTCACATCCATCTCACTATGTTTTACCTTGTCCTCCTAACCCAAACAGTATGACACCATCAAACCACAGTGATATTCAACAAACAGTTAGCAACTTTAATCAGTTCCCAGCCTATTTTATGAGTTCAAATGATAAGAATTTAAATCCTCAAGTTTTTAATGAAACTTCTGTACAACCAACTTATCAACCTGCACCATTCCCAGGTCCAGTGCCAAGTATTATGCTTAATGTTCCACCAGCGCCTTCAAATGTCAGCGAAATATCATTCGATCAATATTCAGCAGTCAGTCAAAGTCCAATCTCTTCAAGTACACTTACAAATCATTATACAGCTCCATTTGGTGATTTTGTTCACAATGAAGATTCAGATTGTAAAGACTTCCGGCACCATTTTCAACCACATTACCTTAGAACATAAATCTTCTGTAAGTTTTTACTGGTAGGTAAGGGAAATCTTGAATAAAAACAGGACTTTAACTTGAATATAAGTAGGCTAAAATCTCTTGTAAATATATAATAGCTTCCTGTGTATTCCTTTCAAAATTACACTCGTAAATTTCATTAGAATCATACTATTGAAAGTTCAATTTTATAAGATCTTCTCAAGTGAAATTCATATCATAATCTGTCACTAATTCAATGAACATTTTATGCCATCTCTTCATTTCACTTAAGTACACAACAGAACAATCGTAATTAAGCTCAAAATAAGTTTATTCAGTTCCTTTTCCATTTTCAAACAAAAAACAACACTTTTCGTGTGTATTTATAATCTTTTCAGAATGCATTTAACAGAAAGAAAATATAGTCAGCTTATTTTTTCAAACAAGCGCACAATAATATTACTATGGTTACAGAGTTCAATGTACAATTTATTTCATTTATCATTATCGAAATCACTTATTCTGGATTGTATAACAATGTATTAGTGCTTTATTTATTCAATCATTACATCCTGTTATAATTGACCTGTTGGAGAAATTTGGTTACCTGAATTCAATACTCATAAGTGTAGTGAAGAAAAGCTAATTAATCAAACGGACAAATAATAAATATTATCACTCCTTCTTTGTTTTAAACGACTTACGTTCAATACATAGCAATTATAAAATATGTAAGCGAAGGCCAAATTGTATTTCCTGTATACTCTGGATTTGAATAAAGACACTTTATAACCATTGAAATATACACAAAAAATTATTTGTTAATTATGAAACTTTGTAATTTCTTCAGTTTTCTCCTTTTGACTTTAAAACAAATATTTTGACTGAATAAAGTTTGTTTGTTCTTTTTACTGACTTCATCTTTGTAGCTAGGAGTAGATGATAGTAGATTTTTGCATTTTGGAACACAAGAAAAAAGGGGATGGATCTGGTTGGTGCAGTCTACTGGTCAGTAGCATATTTCATTAGTTTGCGATATTTTCGTGCGATCTTGGCTGGTTAGTTTCCAACAGAAACCATATTGAAACTCACTGTTAGGTGGCAACTATTCAACTATGAGAAATGTCAAGGTAGGCGGTGTAATTGATAAATCATTTGGAAGTTCATCATCCTATTTAAGGTAAACTGATGCAAAGAAGTCAGGTAACCAAATTCAGGTGATCTGAACAGATAGGCTCTTTGAGCTGAATTCAACCAGTTACATCAACTGTAAGCTCAACTCGTATTAGCGAAACAGCCCTCTGGTGGCCAGATCACTCTGATATGGCTGGTTTGCAGAATCTACAGATCAGCTTGAGTGGTTTCTAACTACTGAGGTCGTTCAGTACTATGATTCTTTATTTCAAGAAATAGAATTATTATGTGTAGAACCATTCACAGGCGTATTATTTGATCAATTTCTTTCTGAGGATGAGCACGTGAGGAATCCATTGTACTGAACGCTTAAACACTTGAGCGTTAGCATGGTATTCAGTTCGATGAACTGATCAGTTTACTAGATATCAGGCCCTATTTTCAGGATGATAAAACTATAAAAGATAATTTCACAGCATGAAAATTCACTGTGTTTGATCACATAACCAAATGTACATGTAGTCTGCTAGCAATGTATCTGTTACTGTTCCGTTAAGTCTGAACTATGTTTAATGATTAGTTAATAATAATAATAATAATAATAATAATATATTTCATGCAACAAAGGTTACATGAATACAAACCAGTTTACAGGTTTGATCACTTTGGTAATGAGAGATGACTATTATGTACAATGTTATGCAATACATTAGATGCTGTGATTTATGGCATATAGGAGGCATGTTGAAGCAGGCTCAGTTCGAACTTGAAGATTATCCGGTCGTCGTTTGAATCATCCAATATTCTTGAAGGTGAGGCCGCATCACAATCATGACCTTGGGGTGTACGCGTTCGTCATCAGGTTTGGCGCGCTCCTTGAGTAGTGACGTGTTTCGCTCGTCTCTCAGCTTTTGGATTTTTCCACAATGAAAAACTCCCACTTTCAATACTCAATCTAAAAACATAGAACGTTTGCAGCACTTCTGTCCGTCCACGCACCTCACCCCTGCGCATTCGTCAGCTCACTCCTCAACAGTTGAAAATTGGCATTATTATTCCTTTGAACCAACCGGTCTACCTCCTGTCAGTGGTTCTTGGGCGTTTCAGCTGCCAAACTGCCTTAGCTCTCGGTTCTCCTCGGAGGTCATTCCCCAGGAAATATCTTCCTGGTTATACATACGCATCTGGAGCTTACGGTTAAACTCGTTGGTCAAGAGCAGAGGATCAAGTGACAAGTGTCTGAAGGTGAGCCAACATAAATTATCTTCCCTTTTCTATTCTGTCCTTTTGCTGCATTCAGTCTTCAACCCTCTTATTGTTGTTAACTACTTGTTTTCCCAAGAAGTTTATATCATAGCGACATGTCTGCCCAAAACGCTAGGTCTGAAGCTTTGACACGGATAACGCGGTCGTGCACAACAACGGCCAGTAACACCCTAAACAACACACTAGTCTGTACTAGAAGACAAACAGAGGTAGGGCAGAACATCGAACTTCTGAAGAAGTGGCCAACCCATGTTTCTAGAATTCCAGTAGCCATCAGACAGGTGACACAGAGTAGCACTAACCCGTCACAAACTAGTCCTATCTTGAGCAAGGATCATACCATGCCTGAACATAGAAGACGACGTAAAAGGCTTCAGAACAAGGCAGCCACAAGCAGTTCGCCACAATCCGTAGCACCTTATTCATGGAAGGAAGGCTGTATTACGACACCCGATGGCTGCAGTGTTTGCACCAAAGTTGTTTCGGTAGTCGATGAGGCATTTGCATGCAACCTGTGTCAACGATGGGTGCATTGCCACTGCGATACCAAAGTCCCCCGACAATACTATAAGCTGATGAAGAGACAACCATGCAAGTGGTTCTGGTACATCTGTCCAGAGTGCAGGAAAATGCCCGCACTCCGCACAGAAAGCCTGAAGGAGATGCTCTCCGCCACGCAAAAGCTACCAGCATCCCCGAATAAGGTAGGGTTAACACCAAAGGATAACACAGAGAGACCTGGAAACAGACCTAGAGCTCCAGCTGTGGGCACGCCACCTCGCGTGGGGACCATATTAGGTCAAGTCTCCATACCCCCCCGGCCCCAGGGGACGTCAAGCGCATGGCCAAAGACATCGACCGCCGAAGCCTCTACGAAACCCATTCCGAACACCCCACACACCGTGACTGAGAAACAACCAGTGGAATTACTCAAACCCATTGGGAAGTCGGGCGTGCCACCCACAACGAACCCAGGTCACAGGAGGACCAACTCGATCATTTTGTTCAACGTCGATGTATCGACAGACTCATTGTTGGTCGAGAGGGAACAATTTGACAGCCGAATGTGGACCGACTACTGTCAGATGCTGGGACTCCCTCCCCTCCCTGCAACTTTGTGTCGCCTTTCTCGAGGAAGCCATGCACCCCGAGATAAGCCCCCCCTTTACGTGTGTCCCTAAATACCGCCAAAGAGGCTGAAGACACACTCCTCCTCTCACGACAACCGGACGTTGTTAATGCCTGTAAAATTCGGGCCAGGCCTGACAAGCCATGGTCAGTAAGAGAGGAGGAGAGAAAGTCAGCGGTTGGAAATCCCAACAGAAACAACACTATAGTTGTACATGGGATTCCAGAATTGCCAAGTGACAGCTCGGTCAAAGATCGGTACTTTCACGACGTCCAACAATGGCAATGGCTCTCAACCAAAGTTGGTCTCAACAGTATACCGGCCAACAGCGTCAGTAGACTGCCAAGGCCAGCGCACCTGAAGACCATACCCAATCCCAGACTACTTGCCGTCCAGTTCGACTCATATGCCTCCCTCACAGACGTTCTGCACGCATGGTATAATGCGAAAGATCGCATGGGTGGCTCAATACGTATATGTGAAAGTAAGCCTAGACCCACAAGGCAAGAGGAGAGACGGCAACCACCAAGACCTCTGGAGTCAGTGGTCGTCACACAGGCGCTGACCAGTGAGTTAGATACATCAAGTAAAGAAGCCACCACTGCTACAGCCCCCACCCAAGTTAAGAACAAAACACAAAAAACGGAACAATGCCAGTCCTATGAGGACTGGCGAGGCTAAATTCAACCACGTAAGCGCTCATCCCGCGAAAATACACATCCAGACCTCCCCCTCATCAGGTACACTCTAATATGTATGTACAGCAACGTTAGGGGGCTAATAGGGAAGGTAGCAAAAATGAGGACGCTGCGTGAACATCAGCACTCCGACATCATATTCATCACCGAATCCTGGCTCTCATCGGACATCTCCGACGAAGAGATGCGTGTTGCTGGCATGGAACTCTTCCGCAGGGACAGGGAACATAGAGCAGGAGGGGGAGTGGCTATCTACGCAAACTCCTGTTTAAAGGCAAGGATGGTTAGCGATACGGCCTTAACCCAGCTCCCAGAGTCTCTATGGTGCTACTTCACTCTCTTCTTTATTCTCTCTTCATTCCTTTACCACTACCTTACTATTCTCTTCCAGGTACCTACACAGACAGGAGTCATGGCAGTTCTCTAAACTTCCCAGCAACCCGTAGCTCCCTAATCACTCTACAAATTACAACCTACTAACCCACAAAACATCCACCTCACCGAAGCTAAAAGCAAGAAAGCAGAGGGGATTTCCTCGTCCACTGCAGGAGTAAACCGAACAACTGGAACCAAGCCCTAAGAACTAGACGCGAGAGATCAAAAACTACTAGTTTTCTACGCTCGCACTATCAATATTGGATATTGGATATTGGAGGTTTCGGTGCCAATATTTCCCACTGACGAATGCGATTTGTAGGATTCCATTTGAATGCAGGACTGGTTAAGTAAATCTGAAAAGTGAATAACAAAAGCGAGCAGCAGGCGAAATTTGTAACAGGGCACAAAAATACGCAGGAGTAGATCGACCATGATACATCTGGGTGAGTTTGTACTGACTATTAAACTTACTTGAGGAAGTGTCCAGAACCAACTGTTTAGAGGTAAGCTTAGGTGGAAGAAGATGAAGGTGCGCACGACAGTAATGAAAGTCAGCCTGAAGCTGAAGATATCACTACGAAATAGAAAGATTAGAGGATATTTGACCAGGTATTAACTTGTTATATACCTATGTACAAGCGTATGATGAAGTTATAAACATTTAGGTGAAATTCGTGGTTTTTTTTTGTTCTTAGGACCACCACCCTTTATCTGGTCACGAGGGGAATGATCATGGTGTTGCCTGTTGAGCATTACCATATCGGGTCTACCGAAACTATGTTGGTGCAGAGTACTTAGATGTAAGGGCAAATAATAAAGAGTTGCATGCTATGAAAATGCACCGACAGACAGTTCTTTTATCTTTTCGGAATGGAGAGTTTACTTTAAGGGGCGATTTTTAGGAAATAGGTGTTAAGTCGTGAGATCGGTTAGGTTGTGAAGAAAAGTAGGTTACATTTGAGTATCTAATAAGTTCACTGTAGCATATCGTGT